CATGACTGCTGAGTGTACCACCTGAAAAACTTGTTTCACTTTCTCACGTTCACACTGGTTTGTTCTCCCCTTTGTGTTAATGTACATTGTTTATAATTAGTCAACAGTATCATTATAATCAGGTATGTTTGCCATGGGGGGGACATTGTGATGATTTTCTCTAGGTTTTATCACTTCCTCCTTAGTTATACTGGTAGTTGTTATGTTATTACCATTGATTAAATCTGTGTCAATTAAATCTGTTTTTACGGGGATGTAGTTAAATTAGAAACAGATAAAGCTTAATGAAGATTGTAAGCCTTACATAATGCAGTGCAAATGTAGCCATTTGACTGTTTCAGTAGTAGACATGCGCCTCAATGTAGATCTAGCAAACCGTTGAGATGGCACTCAAATCAGATGCATTATTTTAATGCCAGCTACTTATGAGCAACTCCAAACGAACTTGAAAATCCTCTAAATATGGCCTAAACAATGCAGCATAGTGTCTTGTGCTCTGCACTTAAATTAGCTTTTGTGTTGAGTCAAACTCTTGTTCCTGTAAGAGTTGAAGAGTGGTAAAAAAAAACAAAAAAAAAACACTCACACCCCATACACTCACCTCAAGTTAACAACTCTGAGATGACCTCTGCTTACAGTAACCTCCTAAATTTCACTTCACAATCACACTGTTGCATTGACACTGTGGACTTGGAGCTTTTGTCAGAACTAACAGGTTTGAAATTTAGTATTTAAGTATAGTTAGGTGTTGTTTTCCAGTTTTGTTGACATCATACAGCTTTATCTTGAGATAGTGTCTCATTTTAAAATAGAATTCATTTGTTTTTTCATGTAAAACCCTGGTGTATGTAGTAGCATTCAGCCCTTATCTATCAAACTTTTGCAAATATCACATCATGCAAGTGTGTTTCATGAAATTATATATTTAAAAATGAGCTTTTGTAACTTCTTCACAGATGCCCCCAAATGCAGAAACGCTCACCTGTTCAAGGGCAGCAGTTTTAGGTAACATCGCTGTTTGAATTTTGCGTTACCCAAGATGCCATTAGTGTGAGGTCCAATCCTGGTCCTAGTGATATGAAGGTATTACCACAGCTTCCTGCCAGGATGGACAGGGTCAGCTTTTTTTCATGTGATTTCTGCTTTCATGACTGCTGCAGCTTTCTATATTAATATTACACCTGCACAAAGCTTTTACTTTTTGGCTTTAGAAAAACTATAAATGAGGTTACAGGTTTTTGCTGTCGAGACATGATTCTCCAAAACTTTATTAGGCGTGCTGTTGGTAAACACTTTGACTTCAAGTGTGCACATTTAATAATAGTATTCAATGCAAGACTCAGCAAAGCAAATCTTACTCAAGTTTTTTAAAAGAAGTAAACACACCTTAGTGAAAGTAAGGCAGAACTATTCACAGTTGAGCTAATACAGGGATGGATGGAGATGAACATGGCTGTACAGATGATCTGCTGACCATTCTGCACACAGAGAAGGGATTTTAAATTGTTTCAGTGATTCTTTTTGGTTGCAAATTTGTTGTTTTGCCTAAATGTCACACAACAAATCCGGTTTTGTCTGATTTTACAGTCTGCATGCTTGAGTATAAGGGTTTGGGTTGCCTCTAAAGCTAATATTGCTCCCTGTTTTTTCACTCTGTTATGGCAAATTTTCTGATATTGAGTTGTGATGGGTAAGCAAAATTACCAACCACCTCTATACCCCTACTTATTATTTTCGAAAAGCCTTTAGTACTAACCAATAGACACATGTAGCAGTATCTGTTTTCATTGTATCAGCATTTTTACACAATGAACATTTGTACATCTTTGCCAAAGTAAAAATGTTCTGGAAGTCACAATAGCAGACAATAGTTAGGACGTTATCCACAGTGAATCTTGGAACGTTCACTGGAACTAGTTTTTATTTTTATCGTGGGACATTGGCCATCTCGTTTTGTGCCCTCTCATATCTAAGTAATTGCTGGTTTTGAAAAGTCAAGTGGAAGCCTTTAAGTCTTGTTTTCATTATATAGATTCCTTAAGCGTGCCTGCAGTATTCTTGACATACCTAGTTAGATTGAAAATTGGCCTCTCGTGACAAGGCAGCATTTGTTGTGCCTCCTTGTCTCATAAACGGCCTAGTACATGGAGACCACTGGGTTCAGACACTTAACATGAGAGTGACAGTGATTGTAGGCATGTTTCTAGTGTCTCTGGTCATGAGACTTGCATGTCATTCCCAACACTGTCTTTTTCTACTCATTCATACACTCCTCCTCCAATGTCATGCTTTAACTGGATAAATTATCCCCACCCTTCTTCATTATTGGCTGATGGTGGATCTGCACCAGCCTTTACACTGTGTGTTTTTGTGCACTCTGTTTGCCTGACACACCTACAGCTTTTCATCCATTGACAACATATTTTTACAGAACATTATGCTACTTTTAATATCAACCTCTATAAAGAGATAGTTGGGAGGTGACATCAAGTCACAACATGCATCAGGTCATGTATACTTTATCAAATGATTAATAAGTGTACCAATGGGGTTGGCTAAGTCACGTAATATTTTTATTTATTTATCTGAGATCATGGATCCATTTTAACCCCACACAAGGAAATTGTCTATGAGTTTATGCGGGATGATGACGGCCAAATATGTCGTTAATTGACACCTACTCACATAAAATACACTTTTGGCCTTAGGTGTTTAACTTAGTTTACCTCATGTTGCTTCAAATTACAGAAAATAATACCCCAAGTACATCTCATGACATTCCTTTTTGAGTTTTCAGTCATTTTTATTATTACCAGAACACTTCAAAATGGGCCGGAGCTTGCGAGTGAGAGGCACTCACATCAAAAGTCAAAGGAAACTAGCCTCTTGTCTTTGACTTCATCCCACCACTCCCACAAGCCTCCTCGTGTTCCTTTTTTTGCAAGGGAGAGGGAATGACTTGAGCATTTCCTTGTGTGTTTTGGGAGCTGGCCTACTTTCTGTTTGTGTATTGTCTGTGTGTCTGTGCTTCTGTTTTAGTTCCCTTGGTAAAGGCCCACAGACTCTTTTGTTTTCTCAAAGGCACAATTTAGTATAAAGTGTTTATGGTTGGTTTGAATGCCGGTGAAAACTTCTCCTTTACTTAGCATCAGATAGTGTTTGGATTTGTGCAGTTTTATTGTGGATTCACATGCTTTGTACTGAAAGGATAAGTGATGAATGCTGCCATTAAGCAGCCTGCAGGACTTCAGTTGGAACTAAGCTGAAAGACAGGCTTGTGGGGGTTACATAAGTTGGCCTTTTGTTGTGTCATTGTGCCGCTGTGATGAGCCAGGCCCTGGCCAACAGTGGAAATGGCCTCATTAACCAGCAGCAAACAAGCATTTTAACACATCTCACTAATGTTGAACAGGCTTACTTAATAGACTGACCTGACAATATGAATCACATGTTATACCAACTGCCTACATGTACATGTTCTTAATTGTGCCTCCAACAGTGTTAAGTGTATGTGCTCAAGGTATTTAGTGACCAGTTGCAGCTGGGCTCAATCACTGCATGCATCACCTGTGGAAGTTGGCAGCTTTTGTAATCTTCCCTAACTATGAAGAAAGTGATTATTAGATTAATTGATTGCTAGCTGGCTAAAAACACTATTTTCATAAACTTAAAACATATCTGCCCTAATTGTTTTTTTTTTTCGTTTACTTTGCATTGCAGATTGGGTTTTTTTTCTGTTTTCTTTCAGCTTCAGATCGTAGAATAAGATGGTTTTCTGTGACATCATCTGAACAGCTAAAACAATCCTGTGTGGCAGCATGCGTCAAACAAACTTCCTTGTCCTAGCTTGGAATATTGTGATATTCCGATTTGTTGCTTCACTGCGTGCAGAAAGCCATGAAAAAGTACAACACACTGCAGCATGTCTCTGTGTCTCTGCTGTGATGGAACGCATCAATGCTGGTGACATTTAGCAGAGTTGTAAAAATTTCATGGGTTGAAAATAGGTCAACATGCTGTATGCTGTTTTAAATCATCCTGAACCTTGCAAAGGAAGACCTTGGAAGTCTGTGAAACTGGCATTGTTCTTAGCATAGCGACTTTTTCCTTCAGACTTGTTAAGCATCTTTTGTCATGGCAGCACCCAACAACACATCAGCAACTTTTTGGAAAAAACTTCAGCTACTTTTGCCAGTATTTCCCTGCTGCAAGTACAAGGTTTACTTTTCCACCACAGGCACACCACTCTCTGCATCTGCTCTGATTAATAACAAAGTGATCATTTTACATGTAAATATAGCTGAATTCCCAGCACAGTCGTTTTCTGAGACTTGTGTGTTTGGCAGATTTGTCAAATGCTGTTGTGGATGTGCACATGTATCCCCTCTGAACCCATCTGTTTTGTACAGAATCAGAATCTCTTTATTGTCATTGTACAAGACAGCACAATGAAATTTGAGATAGCAGCTCTTGTAGGCAGTGCAAAAACATCAGGACAGCAAATCAATTCAGAGATTCTGTAACCAACCAAGTGAAGAGCCAGACCAAAGCAATGCGTCCATGAAAAGTGGCTGCCATTGTTAAGCTATAAATTTGTATGTTGTTGTGAATTGAACACCAACCAACACCAACCACATGCACCCTAGACCCCTCCTCTTTAGCCTCTTCTTAGCATTTTTCTAAATTATGCAGTGAATGGAGGTAGGCTCAGAGCTAGGGGTGAAGTTGCACTTGACAAATGACACCAGGCTACGGGGGTAATTGGGAACATATGCCATTTTATGATTATCTACCAGTTTCCCAAATCATGGTGTCATAATTTGAATTGTAGAGTTTATTTGAAAGCCATCACACAAGAGCTGAACAGAAAAATGGCACAAAAGACTGCTACGTTAGGTCAAAAAAATGTCTCAGGAGCTCACTTAAAGAAACAAATAGACAAGCAATGTAAATTTCATAGACTGATCCCAGCATTTGCTCTGTTCTGTGTTTCCCTGCAGTGGAGGGTGAAGGTCAAGGTCGCATTCTCCAGCGGTTTCCTGAGAAAGACTGGGAGGACAGCCCGTTCCCACAAGGCGTAGAGCTGGTAAGTCAACACTTTAAGTCATGTTCCTGTGTCCCGTAGTGGCCACATCAAGAGTCCTAACTCTGTCAGCGTTAGGGGTTCAGTTCAACGTGCAACTCAGTAGCCACGTTACAGCATGTATAACAAGAAGTAATGTATTCTTCATACTCTGACACATGAGGGGTGTTTATGTGCTAAATTAATGAAGGAGTTAAGAGTCGGTGAGTTAGTCAAAAGGTTTTAGCAGAAATAGGGAGTCATCAGGGAGTCCTACAGTTTTCTTATTTTGATGCCTTTTATATGTATAATGAAACTCGGTCTTATGTTTGTTGGAGACGTATCCCCTCTGAGCCCACATTATTTATAGTTAAGAAAGCACATTTTCTTACACCAACAAGCGAGGAAACATTTGATTTTGTGTGCCATTGTGGCCCAGTTTGACCCATATGCCTTATAAGAAACTGAGCTGTGAATCTGAGGACTGAAATTTTTGTCCACCAGTGGGGGTATCTAAAGATTGACATGTAGGGGTGGGGCATTCCAGCCTAAAGATCATTATAAGATCTTTTAACATTGAATAACGGGATCTAAATCACAATTTTCACCACAGACTTAGCTGAACTTGTGAACCTGTGATCATTTTGCATACAGCTACCTGGGCACAAAGCTTGTAGCTGCAGCTCAAGGCTAGTGTCACAAATCTCTGCTTCCTGTTATTGTTCTGAATTTATCCGAAACATTTTGACCAGAGGTGGTGATTTGTACCACTGCTGCTTTGACACTAGCTAAGTTTCCACCCTGTGAGATGTCTATTGTGTGGTATGATATAGATTGTCCCTACACTGGGGGTCTGTCGATTTTCATCTTTTCATCAATATATGACTATTTAATTTATTATATTACTAAAATAGTTTTAATGGGCAGGAAAAACCCGTAACCCTGACCTGGAAGGAATCTAGACATGAATGAAGTTTCTTTGATTTGAATGACTGTCATTGGGATTTAGTTTTCACAAGTGCCAAGGAAAAGTCACTGCATGTTCAGAAACTTTTCATATTTTATTTAGGAATGTGCCAAGCTGATGCATTGCAATCTTCTTGGTACCTGGGGATGGTTGATTGTTGGCCTAGCTCAATAATCAAATATGATATTCAGCATTTTTCCAACTGTCAATACAGTCTTTCTTAAGCAATTCTCCAATAGATTTTGCTATTTAAAAATGTGTTTCTTGGGCTTTGATGTAGCCGTCTTCTTCTATCTGTAGTCAACATTCTGTGGTCTCAAACGTTGTCCTACCGTCAGCACCATCAGACTGGATACATGGCACAAGTAGCAGTCAGTCAACACTGCAGCCTTAAACGATGAAACATTTATTAAACATTTTTAAAACATTTGTTTAGTTTTACTGCTAACATATTTTGTTCCAAACATCAGTCATCAGCATCCTTGATTAGCAGTAATCAGTAGCTGCCCTGAAAAAATCATATTGGTCGACGACTGACCACTGAGCCACACGTTGGCTAAAGATGTCGGCCAGTTAAAAGCTTATCTGCTTTGTGATCTGGATGTGAAATGGGCAACTTCAAATTGCTTCATAAATGATTTCATTGTGGATTGACTTAAAAGCCACCAACAAATGGCCTGTGTAACATGTTTACACTGGCAGTTTGCCAAGTTTAGATCCAGTCGGGGTTAGTGACTCAACCTAATAAATAATAGCAAAATAAGTGTCATATCTTACAAAAACACTGCTAATATTGACTTTCTATTACTTGTTCACCTCAGTCAACACTGTGGCACTATTAATTGCTCCATGAACATTTCTTGTTCTGCAAGTAAATATTTAAATGTTACATACCATAACCAGATACACTGTGATACGACATGAATATTCTGTCACATTGCTCAGTCTGAGCTGTTGTGAAGTTACTGTAATTTTAAAGAAAATGGAAAGTTTTCAGAACCTGTTGGTAATGTTAATGACAGCCCAGCCCTGGATGAATCAGCCAGAGGTGCTGTTGGAACAACTTGTGACACACTGCTGTCTGATATATCACCCAGGTTGGTATGTACACTAATCTCTCTCCCTCTCTTTTTGCCATCTCTTTCCATCTCCATCTGATTCCAACCCGTGTCTCTGTTTCACCTCTGGCCCCAACACTACCATCACCTGTCTGCATTTACTCCCCTCCTCCTGTCTAGTTCTGTCAGCCCAGCGGTTGGCAGCTGGTTCCTGAGCGGCAGCCTGCCTCCTTCTTTGTAGCGGTTTTGACTGATATCAACTCGGAGCGTCACTACTGTGCCTGCTTTACCTTCTGGGAGGGCCTAGACAACCCGCAGGTAAGACAGACGCCAGATATCCAGTGTCCCAGGGCTTAGTTGGAGCTGTTCGTGCAGCAACAGTCCCATTCTGAGTTCACAACTTGGCAGCAAGACCAGTGTTTGGCTATGTGGCAGCTGTGACATGATGGTCACGTATTAGCTTTTGTAATATACATCCTTTGTAAAAGACATGAAAATTGAAGAAGTTTCATGCACATTTTATGTGCATGAAACTTCTTCAAATATAAATTGTGTGAAACGTTTGGAATTTTTTCTATTTTATAGAAAAAATTCCAAACATTTCGCACAATTTATAATGTTACGTGAAGTATTTGTGTTTAAAGAGCCACAACGAGATGTTATTTAGTGGTATTGATTTGTGCAGACAGCCTGTCACTCTCAGCCATAAGAACTATTTCCACTGCAGGAACTTATGTGCCATATTAAGGGAACCCAACATTCCAAAGTTGCCTTTGGATTCCCTATGAGCAAGCAGTCACCAAGAACCAAGAACTAAAAAAACCCTTTAACAAGGAAAAAAAAAACTCTGACCGACCCAGGCTCAGGGAAGGCGGCCATCTGCCTCAACCGGTGAGAGTGGGCATGAGGGTGACACGAACCTTATTGTGTGCTCCGACTGCAAGAACCACCCCAGTAGAGCCTCTTTCAGGGAGAAAAAAAATACCTACTCCAGGGTAGGTACTTCTGAGTGGCCCTAAAATACTGCTGTGTTATTCTCAATGCTGTTTGGTCAAACTCGGAGAAGATAAAAGCTGATTGGTTAAACTCAGAAAGGACCACAAGTGATATTTGTCTGCCCTCTTGATGTTTTCTGTTCTATTTCTTACATGCTCACAGAGCTAAAGTTATATCCAGTACCTACTCTTTGGCATTGTTTTGGGGCACTGTGAGTTAATGTGTTTGAAACTAATGGATCCAGTGAAAACAGAGCTGATGAAGTGGGCACAGATTCTGCAGTGGAAAGCTGCCTATAGGCACATAATGTGTCCACAGTATAGATACTCACTGTAGTACGTGGGAGAAACAATTATGAAGTTTGTTTCACAATAAAGACTGCCTTTTAACCTTTGTGGAATACATGGCCAAGAAGCCTTTGCACCAAGGACTGGACCGGGGTCTCCACTGTGGTTGCCACTGCACTTCTATGTCGCACATTATTGTATGTTCAAGTGTAAATGTGGTTTGTCATTTTAAGTGTTTACCTCAGCCCGATGTGATGTAGTATTTGCTCCTGCTCTGTGTTCAGCTGCAGAAGGCTGAGGCCAGCGAGGTGGATGAAGCGGATGAGGAGCCGACTGTTGTCCAACCAGCTAAGGTCTTCGCCCCAAAGAGCCTGGTGGTGGTGTCCCGACTGGATTACACTGAGGTGTTCAGGGTACGACACACACAGCTCTTCCAAATATGACATCAACAAGTGTTTGAATTTGTGTGCATTGACTTTCATTAAAACGATTCAGTATGAAACTAAAACACACTGACTAAACATTCAGTGCTTGTTTGAAATAGAGACTGAATAGAAATGGCATATATTGCTGAAAACTTTGATTTCGTTTTATTTTTTTAAGCCATGCTAAACATCACTATTTTCCTTTATTGTACAGTAAATGGATTTTGTGTGGCCTTGTTGCATGGTTTTGTTGACCCTTGACCTCCATTCTTGATGAACAGAACTGTCTGGGTCTGATCTACACCGTCCATGTAGACAGCCTGTCTGTCCCCTTGGAAACAGTGATCGGAAATCTCCTCACCTGTGTCATCCCCATCGCTGGAGGCTCCCAGGTAAAACTACTGGCCATTCATCTTTTTCTCATTTCTCTAAGTTGTAATAATGTCGGTACCCACCAGTAGCAGTAGCAGTTGCAGTTTGTGATGGAGATTAGGTGTGACACCATTCCTGAAGAATCTGTTTCTTAGCTGGTACTTGTGCCCCCCCCCCCCCCCCCATGCTTTGCTCAGCAGTGCAGCTTACGCAGGCAGCAAGCAGCAAATAGAAGCAGATCTTAGCACAGCCTGCTAGAATAGCTCATTGCTCAGCATAAAAGACCAGTGTTGCTTAAGTGCTGGCTTCATACAAAAGAAGAATATTAACTGTGGTTGAAAGGTTTGGTCCCTCTACCCCTTCATGTGTATACTATGTATGCATGTAAATGAGATTACGACACACACAACACATTGCGCACATGCAGAAGTGGTTGTAACATGCTTAGACATTTCTTGAGTATGGGTTTTTAAATAATTTATTAACTCCAGGAAATTATGATGTTTTAAATGACACCACTTGTGTTCGTGGGGCTGGTGTTACTGCAGATCTCTGTCCTGGAGGTGCAGTGTCGTTGGCTGTCCTGTAAACACACATTGGTGTCAACATGGTAGCATTTTCCAGTTCTGTTTCAATGATATCGGCATAGAGGGAGACAGTGATGGCAAAGCTTTGTGAGACACATAGCTTTCTTGTGGACAACTACTGCCACTTAGCAGATGTTGAAAAAATCACACAAGAAATGTTGGCCATGGAGAAAACAACAGCCCCCCCCCCCCATTTATGACCTAATGTTGAAACAAGCCTGTTTGTGTTCTTTTTGCATAACATTTTATATGTGAGATACAATATTTCCACCAAGGCCACTGCTTTTTTGTTACACATTTGTACACTTTATTAATGAGTCTTCACACTAAAATGTTTAGCACGTATGCTTGTGCATGTTAACATGCACCTGCAGGTGAAACATTGGATTTTGTATTGTCATAACATTTTATTATTTCTTTTTT